ATGATCGAATAACTAATATACTGTTCAAATGACTGTTTTAAATACTGAAAGGACATTTATTCTTAACCTCTTTACGTATATGTTATTCACTGGGCTTTAGCTCACTGTTTATATTTATATATAGGTGTCCAGGCACCGGATCGGAGCTAGGGGCGTTGGGTTAAACTCTCTTTTTGTCAAGCCAACCAACGTGCCTCACTGCGAGGTTCCAAGTGCTGCCAAGCTAAGGCTGCTTCGGGGTGTTTTAGATTCCCTCCCTTTTCTGTCTCTGTTTTGTATAGACTATATAGACTGTTACTGCACTGTTATGGTAGGGATTTGGTCCCTAACCTGTATACCCGAATATGATTGTATATGATGTATGTATATACTGTTTTTGTTCTGAATGTGAGTATGTTATGAAAAGTCTTTTTGCATACAGAATGTCACAGCTCATTGGACATCTTTTAATTACTGTTTTGGCTTCCGCCAGCCCCTTGTACTCTGTATTACTGTTTTACTGTTAAGCAGGCCTTCGGTAATCACGGATTACTGGCCGGTTACAGTGCTAAACCCATAGGGGCGGGTTTGGGTCATGACAATCTGTTTCTGCATTTATTTTTAGGAAAAGAAAGAGAAAGAGTTACATCATTATTTGGTTCGCCAGACTTGATTTTATAGTGTTGTAAAATCAAGTGTTAGTCGTTGCATCTTGGAAAGTAGACGTCGGTTATATCTCGAAGCACCAGAGTGAGGACAAAATCTACTTTAAGGAGATTGTGTCCAACACAAGGCTCGACATTAATTTCTGTAAGCATTTAATTCGATGAATAATTTATATAATTATTTTCTGAATTATTTTATTTTATTATTTATTTAATTTACACACATACACCTTTGTGGGTTCTAACATATAATTGCACAAGTCTCTTGTATGATACAAGTTTTTCTATGAAAAAAATTATTTATAAGATAATTATTTTAAAATTATTCCACTTATGTATATTTTTTTTAATTTTTTTTTCTTCAGTATAAAGATCAGCGTTAGTTATTAAAACACGTGGCAAAAAGAGTCGAGTCGGTGAAGTTGTGTGGAATGGTTCAATAATAACACCTTCGAAATATGTAAGTGGGGGCTTAGAGAAATTATTGCAGGCTTAAGAGCACCACATTATCAATTTCAAATGGTGTTTCAACCCAATAATAATGTGCCATTTAAGCTTTATGTCAGTGGGCTCCACATTAGTTAAATGGCGCCTCATAACGGGTTTGGATCTTCTACCAGGCTTCCTAATAGTCTTTCTGTGTCTCAAAATGACATTATTTTAGAGTAAAATTTCAAAAAAAAAAAAAACCAATAAAAGGAAGAAAGAGAAAGAAGGCACCAGCTGCTAGTCGACACCTTTGTGACTTCCACAGTCGGTGACCTCTTGCCTCCCTTTATCTGCAGCGTCACCATTTTTTCGCCATTGCCGCCGCAACCCACATTTTTCTTCTTCTTTTTCTTCTTCCTTCTCCTTTCTCTTTCTAAAACTATCAACCCACCGACAATCCACCCACCGCCACCCCATAATCGCGAGCCTCTTTTTCTTTCTCACGATCTCGCCACTAATAACCAACCACCATTTCGATTTAGACCTAAGGTTTGGACCGTTTATACTCCCTAGTTGTCACTGCCACCAATATATGATTTCCATGAAAATAATTTTATCAACAAGCTCTACAATATAAACAACTTGACTTTAGGCCAAGTTTGACATCTTCTAAAAAATTCAAAAAGTCAAAAAGTCACTATCCTATTTAAGTCACATCATCTTATTTAAGTCACATTATCTCTCTAACACATCACTTCAAACCCAACCCAAATCCAACCCATATTTCATAAAAAGTCAAAAAGTGTACTTATTTAGTCTTCACAAACTTGGCCTTAGTGTGTTTATGAAAGCCTAACAACACCACCAATTCAACTAGAGAGACAAGTTATTTTCAACTCACAATTTCAGTTATATAATTTATTTATAACAATAACATAGTAAGAAAGAAGAGCCTTACATATGTTTGTGGTAAAATCAAATATTAACACATAACATATTTGTCAATAAAATTATTAGTCTTGAATCGTAAATCTCAATTTTTTTCCTTAAGCTACCTTATTAGAATTTTATTTTAAAAAATAATTATATATAAACAAATTTCTATACGTGTAATCTCTTCATTCTATTCAAAACACTCATAATTGTAGTCATAATTTTTTTTAAAAAGTTGTACAAAATTTTTATTCTCTAATCACTTTCTTTTTTTAAAAAATAACATAAATAATTCTAAATTTTGAGTAATGTTTCGAGATTTTATCAAATAATCTCAGTAAATTTATTTATTTATTTAAATAAAAAGAAGATTGATTTTTAACATCAAAAGTAGTGAAATAGTTTTCTATATGATGATACTGGGTCTCCAGATGGAACGGGTCGAACTGATCCATGCTTCTTAAACCGTTGCCCGAGCGTCCTATCCACAGAGGGACCTACACAAGAGTTCAATGGGGAACGGGGAGTCCCCCAGCGAACCCTCCAACGATCAAGTTAGAAAAGGAAAAGGATGATGGAATGTAGAGATAGAATGGTGATGGAGAACTTAACCTTCTCCTTGTCGTCGAAGCTTGCTTATATCCTTTGTTCATCATTTCCTTATCCACTCCAAGCTGTCATGTTGGCCGAAAGTCTATGTTCTAGCTTGCCTTGTTCATGGTGAAACTGTTCTATTCCGACGTGAAGGGTTATCGTAATAAATGCTGCAGGGAAATTCATTAATGGCTGATGTGTGGTGCAACAACTCTGCAGGATCTTTGTTTGCTGATGTGGCTAGTTCTTCACTTGCCAAGTGTTTAGATGTCATTGGTACTTGATGTAACGTTGGGCTTCAAGAATGTTAGGTTTTAGTATTTAAATCATGGACTGGACCTTAAGTGGTGGCCACCATGTCCTTTATGGGCCACTCATGTCACTATATAACCCTTGAAATTAAAGTTCAAAATCAAAATTAAAGTAATGTTTTCTTCTCTCTTTTTTTTTTTTAAATATTTTAAAAGAAAAATTATAATGATAACTAAAGTAATGTTCATTAACTTTGATGAACATAAGAAAGTGCTTAATAACGTATAAAAAGTGGTTAAAAATACATGACAAGTTTCTCCGAATGCTACCTCATTTTCCTTTATTTAGCACGATGGTGTTCATGGATCGGTTTGGTTCAGTTTGGCACTAAATTTAAAACCAATCTAATCATAATAGGTTTCAGGTTATTAGATTCAAAATTAAACCAATCATGCATTATAACCAATCCAACACAATATAGCTCACACTGGTTCGGTTAGTCAATTAGTCTTCAAGGCAATTCGAATTTTTAATTGTTTAAGTGAAAATAAAATGGTAGTCTTGTTAAATCACTATTTTAGTTTTCAATTATCAATGAAATATTGAATTAGTTACATGGACTCTTGTTTATTTTGACATAAAATATTTTTCTAATTTTTTATATTTAGTTACACATATATAAGTTGAGTAAAATCATTTTGAAAAGTAGAATGCTTTACTAAATGAGATGTAAAACAATTTTAACAATCCAACTTTAGTAAGCCATTTAACACTTTAATCGAGCATACACGAAATCGATTCTAACTGTGATCCATTGATGAATCAACAGAAGTCATTGTGCCTTTGGCTTCCACTTTCGATCATTTATGCTGTGTTTGGTGGGGGTTTTTGGGGTGGGATTTGGAAAAGGAATGAGAAATGTAATCCTATTTATGTTTGGTTATAATAAAAAATATATAGGAAAAGAAAGGGGGTGAGAAATAAAAAAAGAAATAGGAGACCTTTTAAAACATCAACTCTATTTTATAACCAACACAACCAAACATAGTTGGGATTTGGAATTCTATTAATTCTTTCTCCTTTTCCTTTCATTTCCATTTCCCTTTCCATTTCTTTTCCCAAATCCCCCAACCAAACACAGCGTTACAGAAATATTTCAGTGATTGGAACATACTTTGCTCTATTACTTTAAACACAGATTAAAAAGCGCTTTAATTTCCATTTTCACAGAAATTTTTCAGTGATTGGATCATACTTTGCTCTATCACTTCAAACAAAAAGCTTTAATTTCCAACAAAAACATTCTGACTTCATTGATAATTTAGCTGTAAGCTTTTAAATTTTCGGATGAAATTACTTGAGTGCACTAAATATTGATTTTATTGTTCTTCTCAAAAACATTACATTGAAACAAACCGAGCCATAATTGAACTTCTTGAAAAATTGTGAGCCATATGGCAAAATTATTGACCTAATTGTATTTACCTCAACCCAATTCTAATAGAATTTTAATAGAAAAGGTTTCAAAGAGCATTGATAGGATATGGTCCAGAATAGAGATAACTTAAAACCGACTATGTATGTCAACAACTCGAGGCTTGGATATTAGCTCAACTAACAAGTTGAGGCAGCACAAAAACCATCTCTCTAGTCTGAGCTAAAGAGATTAAATCACAAACACATCCAATATGAAATCAACGAGTGTAACTGAAACTTCACATGTCAAAGTAGAAGAAAGATAAAACTTCAAAAGGAATTCAAGCAACTTTACAAGAAGCTCTAATGATTTTAGCAACTGAAAATCACAGCAAAAGCTAATGGCACCAGACAAACCAAAACACCACCGCAATTGTACGCTACACTAAAGAAGCAACAAGTAGGGGGGCGAAAAAATAGAGCACTCTCCAAAATAGATGCCTGCAAAATTCACATTAATCTAGGTATATTTCACCCTCATCAGCCAGCAAAAAGTTGGCAGCCCATTCATCTCAAGTGATGCAAATTCTCTAGGAAGTACAGCTAGTAAATAATGCTGTTTAAAAAGCAATACTTTGTGATTCTGCACTTAACAAACAATGCCTGAGAATTAGACAAATAAATTGACACAAAATTCAAGCCACTCAAAGTTGATATATCTAGGAAAAGAGAAGAGAGCAAGCATGCCTTAAATCTTCAGCATGGATGGAATTTTAAATGGTTATAGTAATAAAACAGCAGAGATACAGACCAAAAGAGTTCCACCAAAAAAAATAAAGGTGGGGGGTAGCAGGCAAACCATTATATCTCAAAAACAAAAAAAACAAAAACAAAAACAAAAAAAGAGCAATCCTTATTAAAATCTAAAAAACACTTTACAAACAGTTTTTTGTGTACCACAAAATTGAGTTTTACCACAAGTCTCACTTCTCTTGTTTGCTTTTACGTTCCATGAACTTCTTGTGTAGGAGGGAGCATCTGCCAGCCAAGAAGAAGCCGGGGTGAGCCTGGCGGGGTGGAATGCTGACTAGGTGAGAGGAGGCTAAATTCCACAACTGCCCCAGAGGTGGTTTCATCTTTCTCCATAGTCCGAAAAGAAATGGAACCACGGTTCGCCGAAGCAGCAGAGCTTCTACCAGGGCTTTCCACAATTTCTTCTAGAGGGCTTTGGTTAGCAATTAGTGAAATGGTGTCAGTTTGTAGTTCATCACTAATCCTTCTCCTAGCCTCTACGTCTTGCAGATTCCTCAAAGCAAGAGAATCCGCAACTGGGCAATAGACAAGAATGCAAATACCCACCCCGGCACAACAAAACAGCGAAAGAAAAGCCAAAAAAGCAAAAGCTTCAAACAGATAATGTTCTGGCCTAGATAGAACCGATAAACCAAGAAATAAAACCCTTAATGGAAAGAAACTAGAAACGGAGAATATCAATGTGTAAACTCTCCTTTGCAAACCCTTATTGATGACCAAATGAAGAATCCGCCTTCCAATCCAGAACAAATATGTTGTTAGGACAATGGCAAAAATGCCAAGGAAGATAGTACTCAGTAAAGGGTAGGTGCAGAGGGCAACATCTTGGTCCTTCATCGATGTAAAAGCTGTTTTTGTGAAATAATACGGCAATTTGTGCACAAATCTCTCATCATTGTTAAATGTTGGTCCAACTAAAATAACAATGAACTGAAGAACAAACACTGGGAGGCAATACAGAAGAACATAACCTGCTGTTTTTCCATTCCATTTCCGACTCAATATCCCCGATTCTGTCTCCTGTAAGGATGCACGAAGGAGAAACACAAGGGTGAGGAACAGGCAAGGTTCTGCAAACCCCAGGTTTGAAAGAATGTAACATTTGCAAACAGTACGCTGCCATTTCAAATTAAGAGCATTCAATACTCTACCCTCCTGCCTCAACAAGCTTAACCTAACAATCTCACCGAAACCCCACCAGATCGCAAACAAGATAAATGCGATTCGGATGATCCAAGGACCAGTGAAATAATTAAGCTGAATAAAACCTTGACTACGAATGTGAGAGCGGAAGTAGGAGGAGTAAACAATGCAGAACAAGCCGAGAAGAACCAAGATAGCAACAAGACAAATTGTCACCACACCGAGTGCATCAGCAACAAATCTCGTCAGGGGCATTACCCAAAGCATAGATTCCACGCATGCTCTCTGCCAGCATGGATACAGAAAAATCCCCTGGTGTGAATATGCTTCCTTCTCAATGAACAAAGATGGACAGAACCACTGGCACAATAATATTCAAAGCCTAATGTCGAGCCGAAAAAAACCATATATAATAATCACCTACTATGACTGATCAGAAATCCTCTCAGCAGATATCACAGGGTAGCACCCTCTGTTGACCACTGAGAGTAAAGCAAGTAATTCTCCGCAACTCTACAACCACAAAATGCTTAGCATTATTAATGATCACAGAGATGTTCTTGGACTTGCAAAATATTCAATTCCTTTTCATCATATCAGTAGCATTACATGCATACCAACCATCCCCTCTTTGGCAACAACTATAAGCTTTGTTCTCAATCCCACATACACACTTTGAGCCTTCGCATTTCAGCCTTGAGATAGACCACCCAGCCAAACAACCTAAAACATAGCAGGTACAAAATAACCAATGAGCCAAAAAAGAAAAAAAGAAAAGCAAAGGGAAAAATGGGCAATTCTGCAGAGGTAAAGAAGGAAGGACATTTACCAAGTCTAGCATACAGCAAGATTACTAGGTAAATCCAGCAATCTAACATGATAATTCTATTTTTTTAATTTTTCTATTAGTAATCTAACATAATAGTTCAATTACATCATTAAACGTTGAATACAGAGAGTAAGAGAATAAAAAGCTGAATATGATGAATTCTATAGCACAATTCCTAATTCATAACAAAAACTTACAAGTTTCAAAAGCAACTTAACCTTCAAATCTGCAATTCACTTTCATCTAAGAAGAGCATTGACATGGACATAACAAAAAACTTAAAACTTTCACAAGCAACACGGACACGGCACCCTTTTTAAAGTGCCGGTGCTTCATATACTCTCATAGTCCTGGCATTATTTTTAATTTCTTTTCTAGACAAAGAATTTATAATACTTGTATTATATGCAGTAAGAAAGTATGATAGAATGACATATACATATCATTCCACTATAATTTGCAAGAAAATATCAGGACAAAGAATCCCACCACCTACTTCTGAGAACTCTTCAAATAGTGTGAGACATCTTTTTGGGATGCATTGGACACTTCCATAGTGTAAAAGACGCATCAAATCAACTACATGACAATCTTCAGAAAGAAGCTAAAAACTAAACAGTAAATCAAGAAAGCTTAAGCACCTATAAATGACCTATAGAAGGTAAAAAGTATCAATGAACAATTGACACGGATCAATCTTATGAAACACATACTTCTATGTTTAAATGGCAAAAAAACCAGCTTTTTTTCTGTTTTGCTTTTTGGAGTTAATACTTCATAGTTACTTTTTAAATCCTTAATTACTAGCTTTGGGACAGGAGGGAGGGACACTTAACTAACTGATTTTAAACCAACTATAACAGCAAATAACAAAATAAAATTAGCATTCGCCAACCTTACGAAAAAACAGCGATTTTTTTTTTTCCTTTTCAACATTAGCATAAAGTCGACACGTATCAATCTTATGAAACAAATATTCTATGTTTAAATGGGGGAAATCAGCAAAAAATAATTTGCTTTTTTAGTTAATACTTCATAGTTACTTTTTAAACCGTCAACTCCCAGTTTTGGGACCGGAGAGGGATACTTAACTAACTGATTTTAAAACAATTATAACAGTAAATTACAAATTAACATTATACAGTGATCCTACATGAACCAATTCAAAAATGACAGTACCACCGTTATATCTGCCAACAATACACTTACTGAGAGCATTGCAGTATATCTTTAAATTATTTTACCTCTTGACAAACCGGCAGCCATACTTCTAAAAATTAATATATACATACACGAACAGACCGACCCTGATGCCCACGTGGCCAAACAAACTAACAAAACTCACGAGTTCAGACTTTTAATACAACAAGAAACGAGAACAAACGAAAGAAATCCCAACATTCAACCAATACTAAGATTGCCTATATGCCACATCAGTCCATGAAGACTCCAATAGTTCCTCATATCTCATCTAGCACTCTGGACTGAACAACGGCTACATTCGGTCCACGTGTTTGTATACAAAATCCAAACTTAAAAATACATCCTTCTATACACATACACACCCATGCATATATATATATATATATATTCTCCTTCAATTCACCCTCCTCCAAATTGCTAAACAGGACCAAAATTTAGGCATTCATGTAAAAACAAACTCATTCGTTGACAAACACCGTTTAGCTACAAATCTTCTTAGTTTAACCAACAAATGCAAAGCAAACACACATAAAGCCACAATTTTTGCAAATATCACAACAAAAAAAAATCAAATTGTTGACTACCACAACACATACAGAATCAATTCAACACTTCAACATACACAAATAAAACATAAAACTTGAGCATTGATCCAATAATGCAAACAAAGAGCCCAAACTACAACGAACTAAGGGATTTTAAATATATATAAAATAAATAAATAAAAACAGTACGGTGATCGAGAGAGAAGGAGATCGGGAGAGAGCTTACGAGGCAGATAGGATCGATCTGTGCAACTCCAAAGATTATGAGAGGCGAGAGCAGATTGAAAACCCTAAGAGAGAGAGTTTTTAGAGAAAGAGAGAGAGAGAGAGAGAGAGAGAGAACGCGCAGGTTGAGAGAGAGAGAGAGAGACAGAGAGAACGTAAGGTAGAGAGAGAGGGGACTTTGTTGGTGACAGGCTGTCTCCAGCAAATAAACCAACCAAAAATATAAAAAATAATAATAATTATTAAAAAAACGAAATTAGAAGAGAGAGAAATTAGAGTCTGAATCCATGAATTGTTTCCATTTTTGTGATGTGAAATGTATGAGTTTGTGTGGATTGCAGAGAATTGGAGAGAGTTTTTGGAAGATGATGAGGAGAGAGAAGAGTGAGGGAAGAGAAAGGGAGAGAGTAGAGAGATGGGCGAGAGCCATCATCTGTTTTTTTTTTTTTTGAAAAATCCTCAGCCGTCCGATCCCACTTTAGAGGATCACTCTAGAGAATTCACTCTAGAGGATCCGCTCGCGTGAGGAGGAAGCTGAAAAATGGAGTGCAATGCAACCCACGAAGAAGAAGGCACATTGTTTTGATTCAGAGGAACATCTGGTCCCCCTCTTAATCAAGAAAAAGTGTATATTGTTTGGTTTTATTTTTTAAATTTAATTTTTTTAAAATTAAATTTTTACTATATATATATTTTTCATTTTTATTGATTTTTTTAGTGTTTTAAATAAATTTTATATTTTTTAGATGCACCTAACCATCTAAAAAGTAAAAAAATTATAAAAAAATGTTTTAAAAATTTAATAAATACATAAAAATATAAAAAAAATGTACTGAATTCTCTTTTTTTATATATTTTTGGTATTTAGTAAATTTTTAAAAGATTTTTTCACAAATTTTTTACTTTTTAGATATATTTATGTTATGTATATCTAAAAATTAAAAAAATTGCTTAAAATATTATAAAAAATTCAGCAAAAACAAAAAAAAAAACACACAAAAAATAAGAAAATAGAATTTTCTGAAAACTGTTTTCAGAAAAACAAAACCAAACAAGCTAATTATATTTTTATATATTTTTGTAAAAAATTAAAAATATATTTATTTAGAACATCCAAACCTTGGTTTGGTTAGAATTTTTGAAAATTATTTTTAGATAGGTTTTTATTTGTTTTTATTGAACTTTTTTTTTCACATTTTAGTCTTTTTTTTACTTTTTATATATATCAAAATTAAATACATCTAAAAGTAAAATATTTAATTAAAATATAAAAAAATTCACTAAAAACAAACGACAAGCATAATAAAATTGCACACATCTTTTTTTTTTGGAATTATTATTTAGTGAATTCAAACCTGGATTGCCTTCTCGGATCATCATCCACCATCTCCGACCATCTCCGTGCGTCATCGTCCAACGTGAATGCTGCTAATGACACTTTCTGGGCGTCGGTACTGGAGAAAATCTCGAATAACTTCTCCATTTCCAAAACCCATGCCTCGGCCTTCATCGGCTCTATGCCCCCTTGGAACCTTGGCGGTTTCATCTTTTTGAATTCTCTAATCAAGGCTATGGTGCTGTCCTCATATAAGGCTTGCTATGGAGGCACTTGCAGCACTGGAGGAGGTGGAGGTGGAACTGCATGTCGGCCGTTTGTCTGCTCGGCCTAGGTAGAGGTAGTACTAGCATCCTGTGGCCTAGACTGTCTCAACTCGCGGACCAAACCTTCGACCAACCTTTCTAGTCTGTCTAATCTGTCCTCAAAATGATCTCGACCAACTGGAGGTCTACCCCTTCTTATGATGCTAGGAGTATGCAAAATATGACTTTAAAACAAAATGAACTAATAAGTATATGTGCAAGTAACAAATAGTTATGCTGAGATGATGCACACCTTGTCAAGTAGCAAGCAATATGATGCAAATCCTAATATCATTCTAAGGGAAATCCTAAGCTCTTTAGGACTCAAAGTGTGTGAATAACGTACTATAAAGAACTCGTGCTCTGATACCAATCTGTCACGACCCCATCCCGCCCCTAGTAGAATGGTGCCGTGATGGCCAGTAATCCGAAATTACCGAAGGCTAACTTACAAAGTCACACACAATCAGAGTATACATATGGGGCTTACATGTGCGGAAGCAATAAATTTGAATCTGAACAATCCATAAGAGCTGTACATAGATCAAATTAAATGACATACATCTTAATAAAGTTTACAACTTGGATACAAATAAATAAAGTACAAAATACATCTTGATCAAAAGGCTTCTCAAGTCGACATATACAAAAGAAATAACTACAAGCCGAGAAGCATAATCTTCAAGGTGATGCAAAACATAAACCCAAACCATCTTGCAAACAATTATCTAGGCGTCACCGCCGTCCTGCTCATCACCTACATATATATAGAGAGGGTGAGCTTGGATACTCAGTGAATGATATCAGTAATAAAAGTTTTGCATGAATGATATTCAAGATCTCTTTTCTAAACAATACATAGCATAACTAATACGAAATCAAGGGATGAACCAAGTCCATCTAACAAGACTTTCAAAACTTCAAGGGATGCTCACTAGCATCAATATAGTACAAGGGATAACATTAACAAAGGTGCTACAAAAGTTTAGAGTCCCCTAGCACGTACGGACTTGTGCTACAAAGGTTTAAAGTCCCCTAGCATGTACGAACTTGTGCTACAAATGCTTATAGTCCCTTAGCACGTACGGACTTGTGCTACAAATGCTTATAGTCCTTTAGCACGTACGGACTTGTGCTACAAATACTTATAGTCCCTTAGCACGTACGGACTTGTTAAGAATGTTATCAAAATCAAAGCTAATACTTGATACACAAAATAGGGATAGTCATTCATGCTTAACAAATACTTTTCCAAAACAAGCAAGGCAAAGCATTATCAAATGTCATAACATAACTTTATTAAAAATACCACTCACTTAGTTCTTCGAACGTCAGGGTCAAAGCAAGAGTCCAAGTCCTACAAACACATGGCAAACTCTATTGAATGCACTCTCAAACAAGCTTTACATGAATGCAAATGATCTCGGCATTCCTTCAAAACTAAGTCGAACCAAAACAAAACACTGTTTCTCATCTTGGAAAACATAATGGGCACCAACCAGGTCTAGGCCGAGGTCCCACACCTCCTTGCCGAGGTGTGGTCCCGATGGCCACATTCAAGGAAATGAAGTCGAGAAAATCTGGGTTTCCCTCTACTGAAGAACATGAAAAACATGAATGTTCAATCACAACTTGTTATTACGAAATCTGGGATTTCATGAGATGAGTTCAAAAACATGGACCTGGGTACCCATACTTGAAGATCTTATGAAGACAAATACAAAAACATGAATCTTGATGCAAGCTTTTGGATCAAACAAGACTTTTATTCAAGAACACATGAATATCACTTTCTCTTTTTAAAACCAAACTTTAAATTAATGCATGACTTACAAATCGTGCTCGACCATGCAATGCAGCTAGATGAATAATAAGAACAACAAGAGTATATCAAGATTCTAACCTCAAGACACGAATCTAACTGCTCAAGGTGTGAAGATCAAGCTTGGAAATCTATTCCCTCTCTAAGAACTCCTCCTTCTTCTTCCTAGAGCCTCTCTCTCTAAAAGACAAGGATATGATACAAAATGATGTGTTTCTCAACAACTCACTAACTTAACCCTCTGCTGGGACATGTGACATCGGGTTGGCTCTTCTCAAAAAGGTGACTGAGTGAAAAGACAAGACTATGACAAAGTGTGTTCAACAAGCAAGATGGCATAGGCACTTCGGCAGGTAATGATGTCGGCTAAGGACAAAGCTTCGGCAAGAGGGGTCCCAATGATCTCAGCTGGGATGGATAATGCATGGTCCAAATGTGCCACACCTTGGCCTAGATGTGCCACATCTCGGCCTAGGTTATACCGGTCCAGAGCAAGACCACTAGGTGCAAGGATCAAGGATGTCTAGATGGTAACATCTCGGCTTAGATGATTCATATCTCGGCCTCGGTGGGGTACACCTCGGCCTAGATGATGACATCTCGGCCAATATGTCAGGGTGGAGGTGGAGGTCAAACAAAGTGGTTCCAAGATAGTACTAAGTGTAAGAGGTTCAAAGGTGCGACCTAGGCTTAACAAGACCTCGGCTACACACCGGGCAAGAGGCGGAACACACAAACAATACGCAAGCCAAATTACATAAGCTCAAAACAAGACGGAAACCTTACTTAAGGTAAAACAAGTTGAAAACTGCAAATGCAAGCTGAACAAAACAAAACGTGCAAATGCACATGAACATGACTAAGATGGGGATGAAGGTCACTACATGGGTATACACAAATTTCCTTATTATGTAATGCCGCTGGCAAATGTTCACCCCTAAATCTAAGTATTAGGGTTAATATAGTAGTAAGAAGTTGTGTTATTCATTTAGAGTTCACTAGTTCACAAGAAAGGAGTAATAGAAAATTAAGAAATAAAGAGAAGTAAAAGATAGAGCAGACTAAATGAATAATACAATTATTCCAAAAAAAAAATGTAATTAATTAAATAAACAATACAATTACAAAAGATTATCGTGTTACTCCTATATTTAAAGTTAATCATATAGCTACAAATATTGAATCTATTCCTAACTACTAAATACTACCCTTACCAGATATTATACGTAACTTTTCGAGTCTAAAAAAAAGAACATCTTTGATTGTCCCGGTGTCTATTGGCGCAGTCCTCAACTACTTTGTAATCACTTGAACGACGCATAAGTTTTTGTTTGTTTTTTAGGTTTTAACACATCTCTTTCAAATCCCAACATGGTCACTTTTTACACTTCAAGAATTGTCACATATTTCTTATTTAACTTTTATAACTATTCATTTTCTATGATCAATCTATTTTCCTATGAAATTTGAAAAATCTAGAAATCCCCTAGACGTTGATTTGTGATTATGTATCACTTTTAAGCAGAATATAACAATCCCAATCAAACAATCAAGACAAAGAGACACAATGATTTTACGTGGAAAAAACCGCAATTGGACACCTCCAACTGTGATAAAAAAACCACGGCAACAGTCACAAAACAATCCACTAAGAAGATTTAAAGGAATTACACAAGTATACTCTCAATTACCTAG